TCGTGGTACCTCTTTGTTTCTTGACTCGCCACTGCTTAGGGTCAAGGACCCTGAAATTCTCCCATCATTATAGTTACTGACATCGAGTGACTGTAGCTCTTTCTTCGGAGATTCATAGTTCTCCTATTTGTTTGCTTTTGCTTATTAGATCCCCTCCTTGCTGCCTAGTAGTAGAATCCTCGTACTACTCCTTCAACTCCTTCAAAATCCAAGAGGTATTCCCTTACGATTGGAACCTCTTCTATTAGAACTTTAGTTATTTACCTTAATACGATTAGAGTAGACTGGAGATTCTATAAACTCTTAAAAGAAGATCCTTGACTCGTTTTCCTTTCCTTTAAAACAAGACCTTTCAAACTGAGACCGACATTCCAGTATTCCTTGGAAACCAAGGAACAGAGGAAGACTGGTTCTGATACCAAAATGTAACACCCTAACCCGACCGGGTACTACTTTTACTAAAATGTCCTTGATAAATAAAATACCAAATCTTAAATTTCAGCGGGGAAAATTTTCATAAATAAAATACTGGAAACACACACTTGTAGCTCAGAGCAAAGCCCTAACACGTGGGCAAATAAAACTCAAACTTAAAAATCTCAATCTGATCTCCAGTCTATACTCATAATCATGAAATTCAAATAACTAGGTGGTCTATGTCGTTGCTTCTTGTGAAAATTTAACTAGGCATCCTCCGTGACGCTTGCACTGCCCTCCTCTAGCTGGCTGCCCTCGAACTTTTCCTCTCGAACTCGCTGCTTCTAACTGCTCCTCTAGCTCCTTCCTCTTCGAAGTGGTGAGTGAGATGGGGTCAGTCTACGCCCTTACATTTTAAACTTTCCTATACTTGAGTACTTTGCTTAAACACTTAACTTTAACTGGTGGAAGTTGTTTTGTACTTCCAATCTTAAAACCTTAACTCTTAAACTTTGAGGGAGTTGAAGTTGCTCTCCTCTCTTAAAGCTTGACTTAAATACTTGACTGACACGGGGATCCCTCACTAGCTAGTCTGGTTGCCAACTCATACGTATGAGAAGCCATCACGGCTTTACTTAAACTTAAACTTAGTTAGGGAAGTCGTAACGATTCATCCCCCTGACATCTTAAACTTATCGTGGTGGCTCTTCACCACGATTCTCAAGAGCATAATTGCTGCTCATCTTAAAAGTCTCAAGAGCATAACTGCTGCTCATCTCAAAGATCTCAAGAGCATAACTGCTGCTCTATCTGAAAATCTCAAATGGCAACGGACTGGCGCCAGTGACTAAAACACTTAAAAACGACATCACCTTCTTGAAGGTGAGTTACTTCTTTAAAAAGAACTTGTTTCTTAGACTTTAATAATAACTTATAAACTTCAAGCTATAATTTAAATAAGAGCTCATGCATAGTCGCATCAAGCATGGCTCAAACAAAATCACATATCATCAACCATAAGCACAATCAAACAACGGCATTCACTTCATCAAATACTCAAAACTTGTAACTCTTGAAAGAACACGTCAGGCGTAGAATTTACACCCTTTACACTCACCTCGAAAAGACGACCCTTCTTCCCTGCTAGCTGATCCATGTCATCGCCCGAAATTCTACGCTCCAACTCCTCGTGCTTCGCCTCCTTTTGCAAATCTCCTATTAGGTATTTAGGCAAAACTTAACTCTCTTATCTCCAAGCGTAACTAACCAAACGAACTCCGATTTGGTTAATTTCAATCCCAATTTCCTCTATTTAATCTTTCCTATGATTCCCCATAAAATTCTAGAAAATTACCTTTTTGCCCCAAAATGGCAAATTACCAAATGGTACTCGAAACTCCTGGGTCTTATCAATTCGGCCCTAAATTTTCAGAATTGCTCAATTCAGTCCTCCAGACCAATTTCCACTTTCTGATTTAAACATTTCAGTCCAAACGGTTTATTTCCAACCTGATACCCAAACATCCACTAATTGCGAACTCGCCCCCAAACCTAGTCAATTACTTTACGGCGCCCAAACTTCTTAACTTTTACCAAATCGCCCCAACGCCAAAATGACATATACCCCCTAACTATTCATCAAATTTCCAAATCGATGCCATTGAATTCCAACAAAGTGGGAGACCACTTACCTCCACGATGTCGTCATCTCCTCCCTCGAGCCCATCCTCGGCCCATTCCTCCGGCTCTTCTTCATCCTCCTCGCCACTGTATCATCACCCATTCCATTGCCATGGATGTGGTCACCAACCGATCCCGTTACGGCCACCGTCGTTGAGTTCCCGAGCTCTCTCTTGCGTCCACGGGCCACCACTCGGGTTCGGATCCTCATGCTTCCCCTTTTAGCTCGCGTCGTCCCCTCCATTGCTGCGCCAACGTCCAGGTCGTAAGAATCGTCACTGACTTCTCTTCCTTCTCGTTCCCTGCCTCTCGCTTGGGAAAAAAATAGAGGCGCTTCCTCTTACCCTCAATGAACCGATCTCACCCTAATTTACCCTAACTAAGTACTGCTTTAATCCCCTATTAAATCGACAGTTACCTTCCGATTTCCCCGTTTTTTTTTTCTTTTTCTTTTTCTCCGCTGCCTCTCTGCATCCGCCGGTTGCTCTGCTTCTGGCCGATTTTTCAGGGGAGAACCTCTCCTCTCTTGTGGCGCCAATGGGCTTCGCCCCTCTCCTTTCCCCCCAGATCCACTTCTTCTCCTTCCCGGGCCTAAAGCCCACTTCTTCTTTCCATTTCAGCAACCAACCCATACACCTGCTCCCCCTTTTAATTCACACCCGGGCTTAAGCCCTTCTTCCTCTTCTTTCCACTGGGCCGGTAGGCCAGCCCACACTTCCTCCCCTTCTCTCGGCTCGGGCTAAGCCCACCACAAGTGAGTTTCGGCTCACTTCTCCCTTCCTTCACTTCCTTTTTCCTTCTCCATGGGCCGCCCATGAGCATCAAAACAGGCCGACTGAATTGCAATTCCATGCCAGCCCAAATATCAAAACAGATTAGCCCAAACACTAAATTGCGTCCTGATCCAAAAATCCAATTTATATTCGTAATCTCTTCATTTATATCGAATTTTAACGCCGTTCGCACCGGTAGTTCCTGTTTTTTAATTCTCATCCATAATATGGCGGAACTTGATGAATTTGCTCAAGGGTAAAATAGTCATTTTGACTTTTGGGATGAGCGGGGTGTAACACTTATGTCTAAGCTTATGGGGTGGAAACAACGACATTTGTCATTGGCGGGCAAGTAGATATTGTTGAAATCTATTGCTGCAGCATTGCCAATACATGTGATGTCGTGTTTTTTGTTGCCAGTTACTCTTTGCAGGAAGTTAGATAAATATATGCCTCGGTTTTGGTGGGGTTATACTGCGGAGGGGAACAAGGCACACTGGGTGTCTTGGAAGAATTTATGTCGTAGTAAGTTTGATGGTGGTCTTGGTTTCCGCTGGTTTAAGGATTTCAACCAAGCTTTGTTAGCTAAGGTGGCTTGGCGTCTTTTACAGGAGCCTGAATCCTTATTAGCAAGGATTTTGAAGGGAAAGTATTTCTCTGGTAGGAACATTTTGACTGCGAGGCTTAGTTCCCGGCCTTCGTGGGGATGGCGTAGTATACTTTATGGCCGAGATCTATTGAAAAGGGATTTAGTCTGGCAAGTAGGTACAGGCGCCGAGATTAGGGTGTTGAATAGTCATTGGTTAGTGATTTGATCATATGGGTGAGAATAGTCTTCCGGTCTTGCCAAATGCTCCATTGATGGAAACATCATTGGTTAGTGATTTGATCAGACAGGGAGAAGGAGTTTGGTGCGAGGAATGTTTAGATACTTGCTTCTCGCCTGAGGTTAAGGGGAAGATCTTGAACATTCCTTTGCCGAGACTTGCGATTCCGGATAAGTTAGTTTGGGTAAGGGAGATGGATGGCATGTATTCGGTAAGGTGTGGATACCATTCTGCCGTACAGATGAACCGTAGAGTGGGTAGGTGGAAAACAAAAGTTTCTTTTTGGGATATGAGTTTCTGAAAAAAGATGTGGAGTTTTCCCATCCCTCCCAAACTGAAGTTTTTCATATGGCTGCTAATGCGTCGGATTCTCCCCACTATGGAGGCATTGGAAGAAAAAGGCGGAAATGATCTGGTTGAGTGTCTAGTGTGTTGTGAGTCGGTGGAGTCTGTTGAATACCTCTTTCTCACATGTCGAGTAGCCGCGGAGCTGTGTGAGAGATGCGGCTTGTTCAATGAGAGAGAGGGACTGGAGGGGCTGAATATGGCATTCGTATTTAGACGTATAATGGAGAGGAATGCTGATCCAGGGAGAATTATGCGAATTGTGGCCTTGTTATGGAGGATATGGAAGTCTAGGAATTGGGTGGTGTTTGATCATTTTTAGTACACTACGGATTCACTGGTTCGTCAGTATCATAATCAGGTTAGGGAAAGGTTAGATTTGCCTGCTCTAGGGGTTGGGCGGTTGGCCAATGGTCGAGGCCGATTGGTGGAGGTTGCACCGGCAGTGTCGTTCCTCTGCTATGTTGACGCGGCGGTTTGGTCGGGTTCACATTCTTCTGGAGGGTTGGTAGTTCGGGATCAGGCGGGTTCTATATTTTTTGTTCAAGGTTTTGTTTATGCAGGTTTTGACAGATCCATATCTGGCTGAACTAATGGCGTTCCGGTATGCAATTCGGTGTGTGCTCTATGAAGGGTTTTAGGGAGGTTGCTTTCTTGGGAGATGCGCAAACTGTCATTTACAAAATAAGGGGTCAAGAAGTTCGGGATGGCCGAGGAGGGGCGATTCTCGCTGAGATTGCACAGTTACGTCAAGTGTTTACAGAGTTTTCTGTTGGGTTCCGTTGCAGGGAAAACAATCGAGCGACTCATGTTGTAGCCAAAAAAGCTCTTTCTTTGTTTCTTGGTGATGTGAATGGTTTTGATTACAGGTTGTGGTTTATGTTTGGGTTGTAAACGTTGGGATCTTTATTTCTTGGTAATTCAAGTGAGCTATTGGAAAAAAAAAAAGAGAGAAATACACTTGTTTTTTTTTTTTTTAAATGAAAACTGGCGCCTCCCAGTACTGGAGAAGAGCATTCTCTTTTTCCTTTTATACAAGGACGTACGAAGTAGAAACTAATAACATTGGCAATACAGTAGGCATTGAAGCCCAAATTTACGGAACAGAACAGACAACCTCCAAAGTTGAAAGGAAAAACGTTGTACTAGGTAGGTCAGTAGCCCAATACATTTATATTAAATTAATTAATATGTTTTATTACTATTACTTTATCTTGTGGTGTTGTCGTGGAATAAATTATGCTGTTTAGATGCCGTTCGGTTAATTAATTTATGCCACAGCAATCCCATCGGTGAAACCCATATCCTTCTTGCCGTTGTTGTTGTTGTTGTTCATATGCTGATTCAGTTGTTCCTTCCTCCTTTGTTCCTCTTCCTGCTCCGCCGCAGCGGCCACGTTGAGGAGTTCGACTATGAGCTCTCGCGGGACCGCAGTTGGGTCGAGTGGGAGCACCTGGTTGGGCTGCTGTTCCCCTAGCTTCGCCATGTCGATCACCACCTTCGGCTCCGGCTCCGGCACCGCCGCCGTCACCTCCTTCTTCAACGGGAGAGCAGAATTCGGAGTGCTCTTCCGGTAGACCATGTACAACACCATCTGGAGGATTCCGAAGGTGAATCCCAGAATGTTGGGAACCTGAGAGAGAACACGTAATACAGAGAATTGTTCAATTTATAAACATATGTAAAGCTTGCTCGCAATTAGGCAATTAATTGTGGAAGTTGACCGATGGACTTACAGCGACGTAAGGGTCTTTCTTGAGGAAGCCGTACATGAACCACATGACGGCGCTGAGGGTGAGGAAGAAAGAGAGGGAGATAGGCATGAACTCCACGCTCTTCGTTTTTATCACTTTCCTCTGCAGCACAGGCACAGCACAATAATAATTAATGCACGTCAAACAAAAATCACAATTAAGAGGTAAAAGGAAAAAAAAAAAGAGTGAAGTACGTACTACGATGCCAAGAGGGGCGACGAAGACGCAGAGGGAGAAGACCATGCAGATCCAGCCGAGGACCTGAACGCGGAGGAAGCCGTGGGTGAAGGCGAGGGTGAGGGTGCAGATGGCCCCGAAGCCGACGACGTTGAAGAATGAGAGGAGCTTGATGGTTGTGATCATGTCCTTCTTGGTGGCGTACAAGAGGTAGATGGCGATGTACAAGGTCTGCATGAAGAAGGTGAAGACGTTGATGGTGACGAGAAGCATGGCGTCCTTTGCGAACAGAGCGTAGAACAGCCACAGCATGGCGCTGAACAGCCCGATCACATAAGGCAGTGACTGGAATCCCTCGCTCGTTTTCTTCTTCCATATCTGGTAGAACGTTGGCAGCGGCGCCAAGCATACCATACACGAGATGGCGTTACCTGCAACAAAATTTTATTAATTAATTAATTACATGAGGAAGAGAGAGACACATTTTCCAAAAGCAAGCAAGCGCCGCCATTTGACAGTAACTAGTGTGAGAAATTAAAGAATCTTGCTTTTGTATATACCTAGAAGACCGAAGAGGAACATCAAGGAGAAATGCACCGCCATTTTTGTATATATTTGTATTTGTTTTTTGGTGTTCTCTCTCCCTTTGTATATACGAAGGAACAACAGAGGCAGTACTAAAGGGAGGGATTTAGTACTCTTTGGAATAAGCCAAAGCTCTCTCTCTATGTGTTTGCTGTGTTGCAATTGTTGAAAATGGGCATGATGGCTTTATATAGGGGAAGGGAAGGTGGGTGTAGGGTACGTGTGTGTGTGAGAGAGAGAGAGAGAGAGAGAGAGAGAGAGGGACCAATTTGTCACTAGCAATTCCAAGTTGCATAGGAAGATGATAGATCAATCAATCCAGCCTACTATAAGATGAGATTATGCGTCTACAGTATGAATATGCAAATAATGCTATCTTTGCTTTTTTGCTTCTTTAATTTTCTCCCACCTTTTTGCTCTCCCGAAACAAATAAGCATCCACACACGTATTTTTATATACGAGTGGAGTAGTTTTGTCCTTTTTTCTTTTTCTTTTTCCATATCAGATGGCAAGGCTACAAATCAAATTTGAAAACCATTTCAGCAATTGGCTAGGTAGGCTGCACATACATTGAAAGTTTGAATGTAAGATACACGTACTACCCGGCTCCAACCTCATCATACTCATCATTTCCATTTTTAAGGTACTCCCTCCCAAAAATTAATTGAAGAATGAAAGATGGAAAAAAGATTTATAATACTAGACTCATGGAGTTGAAATGCAAGCGTACCCCTCTTTAACTCTATCAGCAAGCCGATCATAGTAATAGTTCGAATTGGTGGGGTTGTTTAAAAATGAATATAATAATTAGCTCTTTTTTTTCACGTTTGCTCAAACGAAAGCCCAATAACGAACGATTTGAAGTCCATACAATCCGTTATACCATGTGTGTTAATTAACTATTAGTATTGAAATTTGTTAAGATTCAAACACCATACTTCTTAAACGAAAAGACTAATATAATAACATTTTCAAGAGTCAAAACTTTCAATAACTTGAGCAACTCAGAAATTTCGGACCTCTTGGAAACTCCTCACCTCGATCGATGCCAGGAGTGAGGCAAAACTTATTCTGTATACTTTGAAAATCAATAAAATCATTTAGGTTAACGGACAATAGTATGAAAAGAAATCAACTTTTAATTTTGATAAAGGAAATGGGTGAGTGATATAAAGTATAAGTTGGAGGCTCTTCTAACCACTCAAATTGTTGTGGTTATGATAGAATTCTTTTTTCCACTAATATCCATAGCTGAGTTTTAGGGGCAAGTCGTCTGAGAAACATTATATTACCATATTAACATGCTATATTTGGGATTGGTAAATTTTCTTTTACTTCTGGAACAAGGTCTATGATTGCTTGGAGAAATCAAAATGACAAGAATCAAAATTAATAATTGTACAAATGCGGGTGGCTTTCCAGTTGGTTGTATGAATGTTGGCCAATAGTACTTTATTTCTTTTGTTTTTTTTTTCTTAATTTCTTTTGTGTGAACAAAATCCAAACAGCTTTTTTTTCTCTCTTTTTTTGGGTTTTCGTATGCTTGGATGAGATGGGGTTGTTGATGCCAATCCATCTCCTCCACTCCAAATACAATACAGTATTTAGTAGAAGTAGATCCCAAATTTACAGGTTTCGTTTTTCTTTTTATTTTATTACCAGAAATGGTTGAATTTGGTTGAAGGTGAATAACTTCTCGCTGAGCTGGCCCTATACATGGCTATGCCTTTGCTTTGGGGAATGGGGGTACTATTCCTAGTACATCTACGAAAACTGATGGGCCCACACAAGGTCCTTTCTGACGTGTCGCCCACCAAGTGGTTGATAAGATTAAGGCCTCCAACTCATATTTCAATTTTTGAGGTTGCAACTCATCACTTGGAATCTTGTGCCCATCCCTCAAAAGATTAAATTTTTCCGGTATTAGGCAAACCAAATTGATCACTTCGCTTCATAAATTACCTTCATTTGCTTTATTTGTAAGCAGTAGCAGTACAACTAGCTAGCTCCATACACTTATATTTATTTATTATTATTACAAGGCCTAAATGTTGATGAACAGGATTAAAGTGCATCCAGGCAAAACAAGGTCGAGCATTCAATCAATAGCTGTGGGATATTTTCTAGACTCGCCAAACTTTATAGGATATTAAATATTCATTAGCGAGCTAGGGCTCATTCATTTATTAGATTGTCGACATATTAATCGATTATGAATGAATTCGAGTAAAGACAAGGTCGAGCTCTTCTGTCAATAGCTCTTAGGTATCTTCTACATTCACCGAACTTTATAGAATTTGAATTGGGAGAGCAAAAAGGAAAATTTAACTGCTAACCGACAAGGGTGTCCAACGGGTAAGGTATAGGAGTTGGTGTACATGATGATTTTTCGAGTTCGGTTCTCATAGTTTACATTTTTTGTAGGACGTCTGCTTTTACTGTCACTCGTATACTACTTGTGATTTTTTAATACTTGTTTTAACCAAAATTTTATCGGTCTTTGGTCTATCTACACCCGATTTTGCTTATCTCATATAGAGAGATTTCCTTTGATTGCCTTTCGAGCTCATATATCCCCCTTCATCTTAAGAAGCTACTTGATGCACATATATATATTTTGCAGAAAAATGCCAGGTTGACTTGGATGACTCAGGGTGGGTACATCATGGGGCCTTCCAAAACATGTTACATATATCATCACTACTCCACTCTTAGCATGTTCAACTTCAAAGTTTTTACAAAAACTCATTTATTTCACCTCAATACACAACTTGTGAGATATTTATGTTTGACGCATCTTGTGCGTGTATGTGTGTGTCGCCATATCTCTAGAGATGAAATCAAGGATATGCCATATCTCTGGCCACCTTAACCCTTCAATTTGATCATCACGGCTTAGAGTATTTTTTATTAAAATATTTCTCAATAATCTATTCATGATAAATTAAATTAGGATATGCCTCTTATAAAATAGTTTTGGATGATAGTTTGGTGTATTTTTTGTGAGGAAGAAGAAAAGGCAAAGGCATCTAAACACTCGGAGACGACCATAATTGGGATGACGATAAACAAAGCAAAGATGTTGTTGAAGACTTGAGAGATTTTCGACCTATTAGTCTCATGGGAATCATCAACAAGCTTTTCAGCAAAGTTTTGGATAGAAGGCTCAAGATTATCCTTCCTCATCTTGTCTCTATGAATCAACAGGTTACAGTCAAAGGGAGGCAGATTGCAGATGCGGGGCTTATTGCATTTGAATTAGTTGACAGTCGTCGTGGAGGCTTTCGATAATGTGAGTTGAGACTGTTTTTTCAAAGTGCTATATAGGCTTGGGTCCCCAATAGTGGCAGATGTGGGTACGTGGGGCTATGTGTTCTCCTATGATCTCAGTGCTCGTCAACGGTGAACCAAAGGCTTCTTTACTGCGACCAAGGGCCTTAGGCAAGGTGATCCGATGTCTTCAGGGCTCTTTACGTTGGTAATGGATATTCTTTCATTCATGATATCCAAACTTAGGGAGGAACAAAAGGTCAAAGGCTTCTGTATGAATGAAGTTGAGAACTCTGGAGAAGTCACTCACCTCTTGTTCGCCGATGACACCTTGATATTCTGTGAACCCTCTTATGAGCATGTCCTTAACATCTTGTCCACTCTTGTTTGTTTTCAAGCGACAATTGGACTTAGAATTAACTTGGAGAAGTCAGTTTTATTCATTGTTGGAGATGTGCCGAATCCCGACTTCTACGCTGCTATTCTTGGGTGCAAATGGAGCGGGGAGCCAAGCCTAATGCCTCTTCCGTTTGGGATCCTATTTGTGATACTTTTCAGAAACGTCTTGAGGGGTGGAAAGGAAAATTCTTGTATTTGGGAGGAAGGTTAATCCTCAACAAAGCAGTTCTCTCCAGCCAACCAACTTACTTCTTTTCACTTCTTGGGGCTCCTGTTTCGGAGTTGAAGAGAACGGAAGGGATCTAGCGTAAGTTCATTTGGAGTGGACCTGTCGACACTAAGAAAATATCGCTGGTTAGCTGGAATTTATGCAAAGTGCCCAAAGATCATGGAGGACTTGGAATTGTTGACTTAGAAAGCTTAAATCCAGCGATGCTATCTAAATGGCTTTGGCGTTTTGCCACTGAGCGTGGAAGCTGGCGGCGATCCCTCATTGACATCAAATATCCCAATGGCCTTTCATGTTGGCAGACCCCGCGTTGTTCCAATTTCTCGAGTTCGGTTTGGGCAAACATCTCCAAGTGCTATGATGGGTTTTGGAAGGTGGTGCGTATTGACCACGGAAGTGGTGCTTGGGTTTCTTTTTGGCATGATCAGTGGGTTCCGGATGCGATTCTTGCTAACTCCTTTCCTCGTGTTGTTGCTGCCACTTCCCTCCCTGACGCCTGGGTTTCAGAAATTGCAACCTGCTTTGGTGAAATTATTAATCGGAACATTCCTTTGTCTATTAACTTGCGAGGGGGAGCTGAGAGAGAAAGAATGGTACTTATTGATACTCTTAATAGTACTAATGTATCTTTGGCGAGTAATGGGTTGAGTAGAATTATCTGGACTCCCCAGCCAGATTCTTCCTTCTCTGTTTGCTCTTTTTACAGGTTACTTGTCAAAGATCACTTCCGGGACTTCTGCAATTCCCTGTCGAAGATCATACCTAGCAAAGTTTGTGCTTTCGTTTGGCTCGTGTCACCCAAGAAAATCCTTACGCTTGGAAACTTGAAGAAACGGGGATTGTCTCTCGCTAACAGGTGTCAGATGTGCGGCAAGATGGAAGAAACAAATAATCATCTACTCGTTGACTACGAATTCTGCAAGGATATTTGGAACCGGCTTCGACAAGTTTGCGACATTGTTGATCTACTTATAGAATATGTTGTTTCCACCATCAGTAGGTGGAAATTCGAGGTGAATGACGATATCATTGGATGGATCAGTTATTGTGCTTTACATTCCATTTGGTGGCAGGTTTGGTTGGAACGCAATCAGCAGGTCTTCCGCAACGTCAGAAAGGCGCCTGTTTTGGTTTCTCAGAGAGCTCTCAGAGTCATGTTCGATTGGATCATTTTGCATAACAAAGTTAGCAAAGACATTGGCATGTTGCCCTCTAAGTCTTGTAGTGGTTCGCTCCTTTTCCTGTTGTTTGTTAGATACCTT